AAAAGTTTGTGTTAAGAGTTTAACATATAACTGATAATACTCTCTCCAGGCCAATTTTTATATGAGGCAGAATTCGCAGACTCCATATGGCACGCGCGCAAACAGCAACTTTAAAATAACTTTTAGATGAGATTGGTTTTTGATAAGCGTGAACGTTATCAACCTCGCTTTATTCTATCGGCGTCTTTTATTCTATTGGCATATATGTTTTGTAACTCGTGTACTATTAGTGAATCACCTTTACATGGTTTTGTGCTGTTTACTTTGGCTCAATATTACATGCCTCTAAAAACCAAATTACTTGCACATGAAAGAACAGTGAAATGAACCGCACATATCAGACGTCCCATAACCCAAACAACAAGAGAGTACGCGAGAATTAACTAAATCTATAAAGAGAAGTCTTCACTCACCTGCTCCGATAGGAACAATCTCCTTAAACTCAACAAGTATTTCTGCGGATATTTTTGCATTAACATGCCTGGGGAGACTAAGTCGCTTTTTCAACCCCTGTTGAGCCGGATAAGAGCAAATGTAATTCTTACGGCCAGGCCAGTCGGTAGTTAAGTGTTTTCTATATTTGGGGCAGATAGTCGAAGCCTCTTTATCATCCTCTCATAACATACCAATACGTCCCGCCCGGCTAAGTATCAGTTACGATTCGCTGACTTCTGCCTTTCCTCGACCACGCTTTCCACTAATTCCAAAACTAATGAGGTGCGGGGTCATATCTCGTTTGCACGCCAACAGTGGAAGAGTATCGGATCCAACTGCACCCTTGGAACACGAAGATTCTTCCGTTGAAAACGAACAATTCATGACTACAGATTTAAGCAGACCATTATCCAGTAAAGGAGACACTCTTTCCTCGGAAGGCTTACGTGACAAATTAAATCAATTCTATATGCAGGTAAAAACACACTGATCTTATCATGGTACTTTATCAAAATTAAAATCTAATAGCCAATACAATAAGTGAAAGAGATTAAACTTGGTTACCTTTTTGAGGGCCTTGCCAAGGATGTGAGCTCAATGCTAATGGAAGTTGATGGAAAAAATTCGTTGCTGAAAATTTGGCGGGAGACTTTTTGCTTCACGCTATTTTGGTGGAACTTTCCAAGTCAGTAATTCCGTGTTACTGAGAGATAACATTTTTAAGGTTGCTGTAATTTAGTAAAGGTTTAATAGGCTGTCAAGAAAAGTAACTTTCTTCAAAAATTAGCCACGCAATTTGAGAAAACAGTGTAAAAATTGGCAGAAATCTAGGTCTGGATAATTAACGACTTGGCGGTGATATTAAGAGCGACATGAAAGACAAGGAACTGGGGCAAATATTGAAAATTATATTTCAATCGGTTTATTATAGGCTAAAGATTTCAGAAAGAGAAAGCACTTTTTTTCGCTTTGTGCTAATTCATATAGGTTCAACAAAAGTTGATCGAAAATCCAGATGTTTCATGCCCGTGGAAGGCCCTGATCTGAAGAAAATTTTTATTTTCAGACAAAAAACCCCCTAGCTTCTGAAAATACCTCCGTTGATAGTCTTTTCAGGTGGCTTTTATATGGTGAAAAGGTGGAGGTCAAACGCCGACCTCGATCTTTTGCTCCTGCCCGGTTTTCTCTGACAATAACACTTAAACACGCCAAATAATTCTCAGGCTGATGTTCAGAATATAAACTCCTTTGTGCAAGAAATTTTCACCTCGAGAATAGACTTTATCACACCAGCGCCATATTGAATTATCCAGTTTATTGTGTTAACTTGTTGTCATAGCAATGAAAACCCTACTTACAGTTACAGTGGAAAAGGGCAAAACCCAGCTTCTTCAAATTATTAGATCAACTTCCCTTTGAATTTAGTTTGACTTTTCATCGTTGATACATCGCAACTTTTATCTCGATGTTTTCTTCCTCTCCTCTATTTTGATATTTAACTGTGTGAAATGAAAAGATGACAGGTTATCAGTACACTGTCTCACTCCAGTCTTCTTTCTGTCCACCCTTGACCCTTTTTAAAGTTATGAAATGTCACGAACCCAGTGTTTCTTAAAGGTTCTTCTGTAAGTGTAACTTGTTCGAATATTCTCGTCAGGAAATGTGATGCATGTTAGTCTTCTCTAACATTAGTTTCTGTTGGATTATTTTCTTAAAAACCCAATTAATGTAAGTAAGGAATTTCCCTTACTCCACATTTTGATTTTATATTTATTGAGTGTCATGTGAATCATGACGATGAAGTTGTGTAGTGCATGTCAGATTGTTACCAAAATATTATTTTATTCCTATGTAGTCCAAATATTTTCCAAAAATAGTTAGTTTTATCGTTACTATTATTATTATTATTATTATTATTGTTGTTGTTGTTGTTGTTATTATTATTGTTGTTACTATTATTGTTATTATTATTGACAAAAGCGGGAAATAATTACAACGTGACACCAAATATCAAAGGTGTGAACTAAAACGCTAGAAAAGGGTTATAATGCTGTAATTGTTAAGTTCAGGTTTGATCTGATTTATATAAAAAGCTTCTTTGAGTTGTCAATCAATTGAGTTGTTAGCAGAATCTAGAATACTAAAGCAACAAAGGGAGTATTTGTTCTAACAAGAAGGAGATGTGTTGAAATGCTTAAAAATTTGCGAGTTTTTATCGCTTTCCGTGTGCTCCTTTATCCTAGTAGAGAAGTGGCGACTAGTTTTGCCAATATAACGGGAATTATATCCCGCACAAGAAAATTGATAAACTACCATAGATTTTAGAGCATCAGGAGTACGATGTTTAACACTGAACATGTTTTTAATTTTAAAAGAAGTGAAAACTAGTTTGATATTTAGGTCTGATTTACAAAAGCGCTGAGTGAGTTGTCGGAGTTTGAGGTTCGCTATTTCAGAATAATAGCCGGCAAAAGGAAGTTTAAAGTAATGTGTATTATTGTCATCAATGTTCCGGCTATTTTGAGAGGAGGACCCGTCAAGATACCGCTTGAAAGTTCTTTCAATAATATGCGAAGGAAAAGAATTACGTTTTAAAGTGTCGGAAAGTGTCTTAAGATCGTTTTGAAGGCGGGAAGAGGTGTTGTTGATTTTGTAGATACGGTCAATAAGAGTTCGGATAAGGCCAATTTTGTAGCATGATGGACAAACTCCGACAACTCACTAAGCCTTTTTGTAAATCGAACCTAACTATCAAACTAGTTTTCACTTCTTTTAAAATTAAAAACATGTTCAGTGTTAAAGATCGTACTCCTGATGCTCTAAAATCCATGGTAGTTTATCAATTTTCTTGCGCGGGATGTAATTCCCGTTATATTGGCGAAACTAGTCGCCACTTCTCTAATAGGATAAAGGAGCACATGGAAAGCGATAAAAACTCACATATTTTTAAGCATTTCAACACATCTCCTTCTTGTAAGAACAAATACTCCCTTTCTTGCTTTAGTATTCTGGATTCTGCTAACAACTCAATTGATNTGTCTTAAGATCGTTTTGAAGGCGGGAAGAGGTGTTGTTGATTTTGTAGATACGGTCAATAAGAGTTCGGATAAGGCCAATTTTGTAGCATGATGGACAAACTCCGACAACTCACTAAGCCTTTTTGTAAATCGAACCTAACTATCAAACTAGTTTTCACTTCTTTTAAAATTAAAAACATGTTCAGTGTTAAAGATCGTACTCCTGATGCTCTAAAATCCATGGTAGTTTATCAATTTTCTTGCGCGGGATGTAATTCCCGTTATATTGGCGAAACTAGTCGCCACTTCTCTAATAGGATAAAGGAGCACATGGAAAGCGATAAAAACTCACATATTTTTAAGCATTTCAACACATCTCCTTCTTGTAAGAACAAATACTCCCTTTCTTGCTTTAGTATTCTAGATTCTGCTAATAACTCAATTGATTTACAACTCAAAGAAGCTGAACTTAACAAACAATTACAGCATTATAACACTTTTCTAGCGTTTTAGTTCACACCTTTGATATTTGGTGTCACGTTGTAATTAGTACCCGCCTTTGTATTACATCATACTGTAAGTATTTTATTCATCTACCTGTCTGTTATATAATTACTCACGTTCTGTTACTCATTAATTGAAGATGGCATAAGCATGCCGAAACATGTCTCTCAAAAAAGTTGCCTATTTCTTACAATATTTATCGTACTTGCTACTACTACGACCATTATTATTATTATTATTATTATTATTATTGTTATTATTATTATTACAACATGGATTACTCTTACAAAGAAAGCAAAAAATGTCAAAAAAAGAGCAAATTAACAAAGACACCGAATACAAGAAAGAAGAGTTACTCTGGAATCTCAAAAAGTTCAGTGTACATCTTTTACGCAGTTCCAGGGTTTACTCTATTTCCATCATAGTACTGAAAAAAATGTGCAAGACTCAAGGTTTTGCACAATCATTCTAACCTACCTGTTACTTTTACAAGTCCTTACAGTTCATAATTATGACTAAAGTAAGGGGGGAAGTTTTTAAAGAAACTGTGGTGCTGTGTCGGTGAGGGGATATAACAAGATAATTTGGTTTTATCAACTGAGTTGTTAAGGTTGATTGGCTGTAAAGAGTTTCGTAAAGAGTTTCATAAAGAGTTTCTAACGCTGACGTGTCGATCATTAAGAAATGAATATCAAAGCGATCTTTGCAGGAATGAACACTACTCAAGCAATAGTGAAATAAGGCCAATTATTTACCGTGAGAAATGTTCATCACTGCGAAGATGGCTTTTATACTCACAATGACAAAACATGCCAAGCTACTTTAATTAAGTAAATGCTGAAAAGTCCTTGCTTCAGCCTCCAGAGATGAATGCTATTTCTTTCTGAATATGCAATTTATCTTGTGAGAGTGATGATTTGGTGTATTTGATTTTCTGCCCTTTGATCAGCATGCTAGTAACTACTGTGACATTCATAGAGTGATAATACCCATACTGATTCTTTTATTGAAAATACAAAGTCTTATATGAATGCTCAATTTCAGCTCCTTCACGAGCTCCCACCAACTTCAGTGCTGCTGCAAGTTCCTCCACGAGTATTACAGCATCGTGGCTCTCACCACCAGAAAACTTCCGACATGGCATCGTCAAAGGGTTTAAATTATTCTACAAAATGAGGGGCTCCTCAAAGTCAGCAAAGTTCGTGAACATTTCTGGAGGAGATACATTAAGTACAATTGTGACTAGTCTTCATAAGTATACAGAGTATGAATTGCAGGTGTCAGCATATACGTCAGTTGGGGATGGACCAAAGAGTCATGTTGAAGTGGTGAGAACAGAGGAAGATGGTAAGAAAATAAGATGATCTGTTTTGTTATCAAGGATGCTTTAACTACCATTTGAAGGAGCGTGTCATAATAACTGAGAACAAAATTTTACTTTTCGGTAGCTGTGCTGTCGGTGTTAGTTTTTAGTTTCACCTATACAAGGCATTTTTTATATCTATACCAAATTTCACCACCTTTGAAAAACATACTTATGACATGGGCTCCATGTTGAAAATATCTTTATTTTTATTAGTGATAATTGTATGAGCTACTTGCTTTCAGATGTGGACTCCAGGGTCAAACACTCAATTTTTTATTCTTGTTATTGTGATATAATACCCATCTCTCCTCCGCTATGTTTTGTTAATAGTACCCCTTAGAGTTCGTAGTATCTTTGCATGAGTAAAAATGTTGTAGTTGCCCAAATTTCCATTTACTTTTTATATTTTAGAGTAATTTTTTCAGTTATTCCCTTTACTCTATAGGAGGGCATCAAGTATATCCTTCATAAAACACCTATCACGCACCAAAACCTGTGTGAAGATGATGTTCAAGCCACTGTTGTTATTTTCTCAATTCATATTTTCTCTAATCCCAGTGAACATTTTTTTTAAAGATAGGGTACTTATTGTTTACTTCTTCACCCTTTATTGGTGTTCACCTTCTCCTTTATTCTGCCAGCACCCAATGCACCTACTTCCTTCTCATATACTGATGTACCACCTGGCAAGTCGCATGGTCCAAGAATAACCTTGACCTGGAGGAAGCCTGAAAAACCAAATGGAGTTATCAGGAGTTACACGTTGTTTTACAGTCACAGTGGAGACACATTAAATGAGATTTCTGGAATAGGTGCTCAAAATTACACTCTTGATGTCTTGGGTGGAGTGAGTTATCGATTCCATATCAGAGCTGTGACTATCAAACCAGGACAAAATATGACTGAGACTGTAACTTCCAAGGAATATGGTAAATTTTGTTTCATTTAAATCATTCGAGCAAGAATTCTTAGAAATTATTTTTCATTAATTGTCAAATGTTAAAATTAATTTGATAGTACAAATTAATATTACCATTAATTACCCTACAAAATTTGTATAAGTTAAAACCAACAAATTATAGGGTACCAAAGTTAAAATGTTTGGGAAAAATATATGTGTTATGAAACTTAATAATGGCTGTTTACCAGGATCGAGAATCGTTCGTCAACGACCATTTTCGTGAATTGTTCATATTTTGTAAATTACTTTCAAAAATAACATCTTAAGTCCCAGTCACTTAAATCTTCATAAATTTGTGAAAATTTAAAATCGCGGTTTTTTGGTTATCCGGTGCAGTTCTCTGCATAACGAACTGTCAAAAAATAACTGGGAAAATCAAGCCCTGTTTAAGACTTCAAATGAAATCAATCGACTCTGAACTCTGCACTATTAAGAACATCCTCACATACCGCTTGAATTGGCGGCGAAAAGTGAGGGTATATTTCACGCGATAAAAATGTACCTGGAACCTCATTTGTTAAATTTTCAACTCTATATATGTGAAATATTTGTATTTCCCGTTCACTGTGCAAAGTATGATGCTTGGAAACTCAAAAATTCAATCTGGTCTCGGTTGAGGTCGGCGTAATGCTTGGAAAATGTATAGAGATTAGTAAATTATTTCGTAAGATAATTATGTAAGTTATTACTAAACATTTTTTAACTAAAAGTCTACAAGTGACTTTCTATAGCACAATCAATTGAACATGCGATATAATGAAACAGCTACATTCGAGAGAAGCTAGTACTGAAAGCAGAAAGGCGAGATGTTGTATTTTGACCTTCAAAGTAAGTAAATATCAAGGTCATGGAACATAACGCTAGGTAACTGCGGATTACTTGAATACATTAAAAACGTGACAGGTAGTCAAGCTAGGATGGTTTTCTTGGTGGGTTTTTGTTCTGATGAGATCCAATGAGAAAAAAATAACACGACTTATCATATGAGTACTGAGATTTACTCATTTTATCGTTACGGTTCGATAAAAAAAAAAGAAAGCAACGAAGGCTTTAAACCCAGCTCCTTACGTCAATGTACTTTGATGGCCAGTTTTGAACGGTGTTTAAAGAAGAAGAATTACCTGCTAAATGCGCCACAATGCCCTATAAAGTGACAATAATAGGATCTAATGGTAAAAAAAGGTAGCATCTTTGTTAGTGTACGGTTTTTTTAGCTTGTCTCCACCAATGATTATTGAATTGATCTCTTAAGAACAAGTAAAATAGCATGTTAGTTTTTGCACTTGTGCAGGTACCTGTACATGTACATTTTCAAGTGTCGCAGTTTATAAAGTGTGACTTGTCTAAAATTCTTTGTTGATTTGTAGATACAAATATTTCTTAATGAAAAGACTGTAGCAAGCATTCTTGTTTTGAATAATAAGGATTTTCTGATTTCTAGGAGGTTTTTATTCCATTGACAGAACCCAGTTTTGGCCCTGATTCTGTTTCATCCTCTCAAGTTCAAGAAAACAAGAGGGCCTTTAACATCTCATGGGCGCCTCTACCAAGAGAAAAAAGTAATGGAAAAGTTATTTTGTATGAAGCGGAGGCCATCATTTTGGAGAAGGAAAATGTGCGCAAAGGATCTGTCGTCAACAGCCCCTCTGCCAATACTTCAGCAACATTTGTTGTCCTGTCTGACTTTGAGCTTTGTTCTAAATATGATGTCGCTGTTCGAGCTTACACTGCAGCAGGGCCGGGACCCTATGGCGAACCTTCGAGACTGGAAACATCAAGTGAGTGAATTCCTAGTCAGGTAATTCTCTGATGCAACCCTTTTAGGTTACAGAGCAACTAGATTTCTTCTTATTTTATGATTATTGACAACGTGTAAAAAGCACATTTTGTCTTCGCCACATTCTCGTTATTGTGTTTAAGTGCAACCAGATTTCTATTAGCGTTGCCTTTTTATTTTATTGTATTTCTTTACTGCATTTTTTCTTTCTGTTTCATTTTATTTGATGATTATTTGCAATTTTAAAAAAATGCTCTCTGGTAATGTTATTATATGACCAGCAAAATTTTCTTTAATTTTTTTGTTTTTCTTACACAACACTAAAGGACCAGAACCACCAGGGGACATTAGTGCAACAGACACTGGAACAACCCAGGTTACGCTGACGTGGAAACAAACTGACAAAAAGGAAAAAATTGTGTATACTGTAAGTTGGATTAAAATTGCTGGTAATTGGAGTATCTGGGAGATTCCTTTACAGTGTTGTTATGAACAGTTATGTACGCCGTAGATAGTTAGACATGTTTTAAAACTTACCATTTGTTTAGAGTGTTAACTTTATAGGTACATTTCTATTACTAATACTTATAATTGTGTTATGAGGATACCAGGGGGGGATTCCTTTCTATCTTTCATCATCAGGATTTTTGTGGCTTAATTTGAATTCTTTTCACAAAATTAAAAGCAACAACTCTTACCTAACGTAACTTTGAAAGATTTTCAGACAAATTTGATGCTTTTAATTTCAAGGTATGTAGTGCATGTAATACGTTATCAGAGCATTTTTTTCGTAACAGTGGTAACAACTTTAATAATAATAATAATAATAATTTTATTTATATAGCGCTAAAATCCAATAATTGTCCAAAGCGCTACCTAATAACAATATAAAATATAAAAATATGTAATATAAAATATCTACAATATACAATATAATTCAAATATAGCCTAAGTTATCTACTATATAAATCAAAAACATCTCAAAACAAAACGAATCTCATAACCTATATGCTAACTTAAATAAAAAAGTTTTAAGGGATTGCTTAAAAGTTGCCACTGAAGCACATTTCCTAATCTCTAGAGGTAAATCGTTCCACAATTTAGGTCCTGCAATAGAGAAAGCTCTGTCTCCATATGTTTTCAATCT